TAGGTGACAGCTTGTATGTGATTTTTTTCTTTTCGCTAGTGTGGTAATAAGGGATGCCACTCTCAGGCAAAAACTTTCAATGTAGCTGTACAATTTAATGTTACGTCCTGCTGTCGGTGTAAAATCTTTGTTCTTTTTCCTACCATTATTATCCTGGTGGAGAGTGGTGTTTTTTTGGCATAGAAGAATTCCTTAAGTCTCATTCGTCTGAAAATTCTTCCAAGTCTGATTATAACTGGATGTGATCCAGTTTTGTGCTTGGACAGAAAGTTAGCCACTTGGATAAGACTGATTTCTCAGGTATTGACAGGTGATGATTGGAGAGGTTAACAATCCCAGTATTGTCCATGCAGTGTTCGTGGCTCAGTTTGGTTTGGGTAATTGGTAGCTCCGGTGGGAGTTGGTTGATTTTCAAAGGTGCAATCAGTTAATCTTTCATTTGGGCTTTCTTTGTGCTGCGTGAGGCCTGCCACTTTTTTATTCTTTTTCCTAATGAGACTCAGTTGTTGTTTCCTGTAGAAGTAATCCATTTCTATTTACATTGCTTGGGTTTCGGATGTGACTTGTTGAAGATCTTGGAATAAGGACTGCTTATGGTAGAGTGTGACGAAAGTAACTTCGCCACTGGTTTTTGGAGGGGCCTGTTTGCCAGCCTCCTACCCTGTCTATTGCCACTGCAATAGACCTGGCTAAAATACTTTAAATAGGCTCTGTTAGTGCAGTTGGGACTATATGGTTAGTTTACCTAACAGCCGCACAAACCGGAGGCCACCCTGGAGCTTGTTAAGCTTAATTGATAAGCTTTGTTGCAATTTGCACGTCTGTGGTTTAAGTGTTCGTCTGGGTGGCCGCAATTCCTATGGCCGACCACGAGGTGGCAGCCATCTTGTTCGCATGGACCAAAACCGAAAATAGACTTCAGGGGGACTTAGCCGTGAATGCCCTGGAACTATTTTCGGCATGAAAACTTTGCAGTTCCCGGTCGGTCCTCCAGCGGCACTTGGCTGCGATTCTATGGAACTATTTTCGGCTATGGGACCATGCCTGCGGTCGGTCAAATAAATAACTTCCAGGAAATTCCTGAACTGATCTGTGTGATTTTTGGATATGTTGGTCACTCAGATCAGCGCTATTAGGGGATGTAACATTTGTGGGGTTTTATGTATTTTTAGGGTACTTTTGGGGTGTTTTTAAAAAGTATGTTTATTCTGTGCTTGGAGATAATTGGATTAGATTTAGTACAGTTACTGATCCAATTAACTCCCAAACAGAGGGGAGGGATTGTGTGCTGTGTGTGGGAGTGTTGTGCCTTGTAACTGTATTGTTATTGGTCTGTAAAGTTGCAAATCAATCCCCCACAAGGTCCCTGTGGGTGTACCCCTTGCATGGGGATTGTCATATAAGGCCAAGTGTGGCTCCCATTAAAGAGAGATTCATTTACCCCTTCAAGTCTTGGCTCATGTTTGGGGTATTGGAGAACTACATTCACTCTGGGGATTGCCATAATCACTATACTCCCTTGGATCACAACACTTGTTCTTATAAGAGCAGCTTGGTTCGCTCTTTGGACTAGGAGAGGTCTACCCACTGGAAGCTGGATCCTGGTCTTGGGTCCAGGGTGGGTGGAGGACGGCAAAACCCCAACCAAGCTGCGTCAGTTCGTGGGATTTACGGTGGTTATGGTGTTCCATTACAGTGCTTATGGTGCTCGCAGGTACTAGGAAGCAGCGATTGACGGAGGTACACGGTCGGGGTGCCAGGCGGTCCGTCACACAGAGTAATCTTTGTTTTCTGCCATTTAGCTGGTGAATAAGGTTGTTGCGTAGTTTCTCACTGGTATATATAAAAGACAGACAGCACTACTGGGACTTAAAATATCACTTTTATTGATTAAAGTTTCAGTTTAAAAACATACATTTTTGGGAGTACAGACCAGCTCCCATTGTTTTACACCCCTCCACATCACAGGTGTTTAATTTCCATGTTCCTGCTACGAACCGTTATGAACAGTTAACAGAAATTTACAGAGCTAATGGCAAGAGATTCATTTGATTTTTTCTTTATTTTGCATTGCAGACTATTTTTATCACAATCAATCATATTTCTAATATATGTACATATGGATATATGTTTGCAGAAAAAGTACACAGATTGACATTTATTTATTTAGAAATACATTTGAAGTATGTGTTGTGTCATATTTGCATTGGTGTAGTAGTAAGGTCAATTTTCCAGGGGGTTTATTCACTAATAAGCAGATTGAAGAAACTTGAAAAGAGATTTCATAGTTAGATAAAAATAGCAAATTTGAAAAAACGAAAAAAACAAACAAACAAACTCCAGTTTTGCTGAGAAAGAGATTTTGTTCAATTCTGCTTAGATTTATTTACTAGGTATGGATTTGTCCAGAATTGTATAAAATTTAGGAAATAATAGATGATTTGGGGAAAAACATTTTTATTTTATCTCATAATATAATAAACGTATAAAATGTTATTTCATATTTATTATTAAAGTTAGTGTATTGTAAACTGACTTATATTGCTATATACTGCATTATACTTTTGTTATTACTAATGATACTGATATATGGCACCTAATCTTATTTTATTAATCTATGCATTATATATAGTTGTAGCCTCATTTGTCTTAAGTACTTATTAAATCGCTGTAGTAAAGACATTAGATTTCATAAGTATCTGAATTGGAGCCCATCCAAAAAAAAGACAATGTAACTGGTTGCTACAAATATAATTTGAGGTTATACACATCCTTTACATTACAGATGTAATGACATTTTTATGTGGAACTTTTATTTGTAGGGTCTCTGCATTATTTGCAAGGATAGTCCAGGTGGAAGGTGTAACTGATGGGGGAGGATGGTACGGGATAAATACACTCAACTAAGGTTCTCCTACCTGCCCTCGCATGGATTAGAGGGTGCAAGAAGTCGCACTGTTTTGAACTGTTACACAAAGGCACTAATCCAAAAGGGAGTCTGTTGAAAATCCTGTGTGACTTTGGGATCCGTCACAGATATTATTTTGTATGTGCACTTTTAGTAAGCATCTAGAGAGCATCGCACAAAACAATGCATTTTCCCTTCAGCCATCACAGGTGATGACTATTGGGAAATGGCAAAATATGAAAACTGGAATGCAATCATTATTCTGGTTGAGTCATTTTCTGTGGCATACGTAAGTCAGAGCAGTACCTATTATATATATCTTTGATTGCAAGTACGAGGTTCTGTGACGTAGTGATGGGCTTAACACAATATGGCCAATGGTGGAACTGGATCCCCATATTTATTTGCCAAGATAGGTGATTTTATGTAGCCTTGTTAAATGTAAAGCTGTAATTTTGTTTGTGTGTGTACTGTTCCTTTAACTGTATTTTGTATATGTTTTGCTCTTTACGGCAGCACCACTGCTTGGATATGCATGCTCTGGGTGTGCACCCAACTCCCATTTTTTTCTGTGTAGACCTTGAATGTAAAGACCTTTAACATTTGTCTTAAAAGGAAACTATCTTTTAAACATTTGCAGTTTTACAAGTATATTATAATATGTTGGTACAATGTAAATAATAATTATAACAATAATTATTATAATAATCTCACTTACAGTGTTGGATGTGCAAATATAATCACCAGCTAACAGTAGGGGTTTGGCATGAATTAAGGAAGGAAATACATTTTGTAGTTTTTTTTTAATAAAAATGCAATAAATACACTACTTCCTTTTCATTGTCACCTGTCATTTATTATTTATGTAATTATTTAACTGTCCATTTTACATGTGAGGATATAATAACTGGAATGGTGAGTTCTAGAATAAAGCAAATGTAGCAGAGTATGATACTTTAATACATCATTTTAAGTAATATGCATGTAATATATAAGATGAAATCATATTACTTTGTAAATTCAGGCGGGTGTAGGCATGCAGAGCAACCATCTGCTGATGCATCAGGAAACACCTTCAGACATGAAATACTCAGTTACTTTCAATTTTAAAAATAAATCATATTCATGAGTGCATTTCCTTAGTTCTAGAGTAGAGACAAATGCAGTTTATTTTTAAAATCCTTGAACAATCATCTACTGGCAATCATTTGTGAACCAAGTTAAACATTTGTATCAGATATTGTGACACTGAGCTGTAGCATAGGATGTATGGCTAACTCTATCCCATGCTAGGCTTATGACTTTTTAGTTTAGCAGTTTGGTTTAGTATAAGTTAGTAACAGAGTTTTCATATTAATGTATGCCACAGAAAGGGAGCAAAACCACTGGGTTATATAGTGGTGTAACAAGGAACTAAATGTTAATCTTTTTCTTTTTACCATACTGACTTTGTTTTCGCACTACTTTCCTTCCTTTTGTGGATAGGGAGGTGTTGTCCTCAATCTAAGTCCCATGAGTTAGAGTTGAAGCTCTGTGCTATTTATTATAAAAAATGTAAGAGTGCTTTTACCTTTTACAATATATTATATCTAGTTTTTCTTATTGTGATTGTTGTATGTTTTAGATGATTGTCAAACTGCAGTATACAATCTTCAACACAGAATGCGCCAAAAGTAAGTATAAAGTAAAAACAATGTGGAAAGCACATAGTAAAAAGTCCTGCAGACAAATAAAAAGGAATAAAAATAAAAATAAAAAAGCTAAATACTGGTGTAGAAGAAACGAGACTATATGAGCAGGACAAACTGACCCTACAGTCTGATCGGACTAAATTGGTAATATGGGCTTAACCCAAAAAGAGCATACATATGCTCCTCGCTTTACGTGTTCCATTCCTACGACTCGGTCGATAAGCGACTTTTGACGCTTATAATTCGCCAAATTTCTCATTCGTGGAAAACATGCGAAGTACAGCTTTGTACTCTGTAAAGCTGTACCTCGCATCTTTGCCGTGAATAAAAACCCACGAATGAGCCTTGACGAACAGTACTGTACATGAAATGTACTGTACAGTACTGGGAACCCTCTGAACATGGCGAGATTCACAGAGGTGAATCTCGCCGCATTTATATTCGTGGGTTTCTATTCGTTGCAAAGATGCGAGGTACAGCTTTATAGTACAACGCTGTACCTCGCATCTTTGCCACGGATGAGAAATCAACAAACGTTTGTTGGTTTTTTCGTTTGCGGGAAAGATGCGAGGTACAGCTTTGTACTGTGTAAAGCTTTACCTCGCATATTTTCTGCGAATGAGAAACCAACGAACGTTCGCCAGTTTCTCAATCGCGGCAAAGATGTGAGGTACACCTTTACACAGTACAAAGCTGTACCTCGCACATCTTTCCCGTAAATGAAAACCCGCGAATGAGGCAAAACACAGTTTACAGTTAAAGTGCCAGGAAAACAAATTTGTTTTCCTGGCACCAGAGTTCCCTATAGTGTCACCCTCTTTCCCCAAAGTGCATAAGTTCTTAAAACCCTTCGCCACTGCTCCTCTACCGCTGAAGTCAGCCAGCGAGGGAATACCTAATGCGCATGCACATTAATGGCCATGCTCGCATTAAGACTTCCCTCATAGGAAAGCATTACAGTACAGTACGTATTACGCACCTGCAATGCTTTCCTATGGGGTTTCGGGTGACGCTATGTCTTCATGCATAGTGTGACCATGCACAGGTGACCAAAAGTCGCAGTGTATGTGTGAGACCCCCCTGAGAAAATACTGTAGTGCAGCACCGAGGCGCTCCCTTGCTGGCCCATGCAGGGCCGGCGCTATGCAAGCGTTGGCCATGCTGTGTGCCTTTATGGACCGGAGGGGAGATCAGAGATCTCCCTCACCGGCCTACATGCACTTTGCTGGGCAGCCAGAAGGGAGAGAGAGAGGACCCAAGAGCTCTAACCTGCAGCTCCGCTGTGTTCTCCTCTCGCAAGTTCGGAGCTTTGCAGCAGTCACTATCTGCACCCCCAATACACACTTTTAAGTTAAAGTGTACTGTACCCTCACACACACACTGACCCCCTCACACACTGCACTGCCAAAACACTTCACTCCTCATGCACACAGCACCTCACACACACTTCACCCCTCACACACACACACTACTGCCCCTATCCCCTTCTACAGCTCCTATCTTGGCATACCTCAGGTAAGTTGTCAAACAGTTCTTAAACGGTTTCACTACTTACTCTGGGAGGGGGCACCATAGCACTCCTGGAACAATAAACACTATAGAGAGCTGTAGTAGTTATTGTGCCTGGATTTTTTCTTTAAATACTGCACGTACTGTACAGTAATCTACCAGTGCCACTCCCGAGATTATATTCTGGATGTACTGGTCACATTACCATTGTTACAGACAAAGAAAAGATCCAAAGGAAACTCAAACTTGATAAAAAAAATAAATATTTTGCATCTCTTAAATATTTACAGTATGTACATTACAGTACGTACTGAACATAAAAATACAGTACTGTATGTACTGTACGTACCTGTACAGTGCAAAAATTATAATAAGTAAGTACCCCAAAAAAGCAAATCACAACATTAACATTTTATCTGTACAGTATTACCTGTACTGTACAGTACATAGTAGTCCCAAAAAAACAAACAAAAAAACTTTGGAACAGGAGAGTCTTAGTGTGACGTCTGCAGGAAGTACATAATCTAGTACTGTACGTAAAAGGAAAAGAATGGGGTGGCCACCCTCTCTTGCCAGAGGCAGGTGGGTGTCCACTCCACCAAAAGATATCTCTTAAATATAAAATCTGTATAATGGTATTAAACCTTTATTAAGCCGAGTACATACATACAAAGACAGTGAAAACTTACAAACGTGAAAAAATAGTGAAACCCAAGTGATATGTTGTCCCTTTAAAAGCTGGGTAGACTGGGTCCAAATTGTCACATAATTGTCAGGAGTATAGCTAGGTGGGAAAAAAGGCTAAACTTTTTATGTAAAATACTCCAAAGACAGGGCATGCAGCTAGTGCGTGGCCACAGTTGTACGGCTATTTATATGAAAATCACTCTTTTAACAGAGTGTAGAGGCTACAGTATAAATGCCCATAGCAGAGTATTACTCCATCCAGAATGTAGTACATGCAAAGCAGGGTCTGTGTACAAACTCAACAGATAATCCATATGCTTGATATTGTGTCCAAAATATCAACGTGAATAACTTTTAATGAACTTGTTACACTTCTGGATACAAAAGTTTACAAATCTCACATATTCACCTCTCCTGTTTATTGAAGAGTGTATTGTAGAAGGGGTAATATAATGGGGATCTTATTGTCAGAAAGGGTGACATAGGTTAATAGAGAGAGGCAAAGTATATATACTCGAATAAGGAGGGGGTTTCTCTTCCCAACCCCCATGGTAGTTGAAAATCACTGTGCTGTATAGCAAAAAATTGTGAGCAGGTATTGAGTCACAGTATTAAGGTGGGTCTATATATACACCACCTAGAACCAAATAAAGTCGCCCAGCCGCCAGAACAGTCAACAGTGCAAATACACCTGATTCTAATGAAGTCTCCTATACCTTTTAAATATAAATTACTAACTTTCCCCAGACACCTCACTCTCCGTAGATAGTTCTACACCCAAAATAAAAACAAAAATCGGCAAAACAAAACGCTCAACACGTGTTTCAGCATGCTAAAACGCCTTTGTTTAAAAGCTCCCGGCATCACTGAATGGGGCTGACTATGAACGGCACATAGCCCCGCCTCCGGATGCACATGACCAATCAGAAATGTCTACGGCATATCGGGGGCGGGAAACGTAGCAAATCCACCTCACCCCTTCGTCTCTCTCCAAATGCGCATGACCCAGCAGGAGTGTCCATAGCGCATCGGGGGAGGGGACGTTATAGATCCACTCCACCCCTTCGTCCACACGTCTCTATCAGGATGCGCATGACCAAGAGGGAGTGTCCATAGTGTATCAGGGGTGGGGACGTTACCGATCCACTACGCCCCTTTGACCCAATATCGCGGCAGAGCACCTACATACGGTGCTTGCCCCTCGGTCACCTTGGGTACGCCACCCAAACTCCCAAAAACAAATCCATGCCAAATAGGCTCAGGATTTGAGAGGTTTTGCTACTGGCAAAACCTCGAGTAGTAGACGTGCGGTGACTATGTACCTCCCAATTATTCAACTTCTACCAATTGTTGTAGCTAGGGGGGGTGGATATAGTTGCTCCCACTCTATGTGTCAATGTTATTATACACATATAGTAAATAATTGAATAAATACACTGCCACTGGTCTCCATTATGTATGTTTATCCATGCTAAATATAACTCAGGGTGCTCATTTATACATAATACTGTATTCAGGAGAGAACCCTCTTGAGTTTTATTTTGATCTCATGGAGTATCTAATGGCCATGTTAATACTTCACTTCCAGGAGATTTCTTAAGGACAGTCTATGTGTAAAAAGTTGCGTAGAAGAAACTATAAAATTAACCCTTTTAAATCACAGCAGAGGTTAATGCATCTAAAGTTCAAAATGTATTTCGCAGGCAAATAAATTCCTATCACTCACAAGCATAGTCCTTTCCACATAAAATGGATTATACTAAATGGATTACACCATGCACATTACCTGTACTAAATTCCAGTCCCTGGAGGGTATAGGTGGCTTATGCCCTTATTTCAAAATAATCCCGGGTTAATGGTTAAACATACCATATAAACAGAATAAACAGATCAAAAGTATATACATACAGGGTTTATATAGAAAAGCGAACAAACCGATAAAGGTGAACCGTCAACAATAAGTAAAACAAATGAATAAACAAATATATACAAACAATGCTCCTACTGAATGACTAGCTCAAAAAAAAAAGACATGGGGTGAATAGGTATTATTTATATAAATGGGGAGAACGTAAAGCCCTCATTAAGGCCTCTGGGGTTGAGGGTTCTGAGTTTATATATCCACCTGCATTCTTTTTGGCGTAATATTTTATCATAATCCCCCCCGTCTCTGGCCCCGTTTAACCAATTCTAGACCGCAGAATCCCTAGAAATACCATCATGATGTTCTTTTAAATGTCTGGAGTTTCCAGAAGATTTTTTGGGGATCTCACGTGTTCCTTGATCCGTTCTTTAAATGGTCTAAAAGTTTTCCCAGCATACATTAAATTGCAACTGCAGGTAAGAAGGTATACAAGTCCTGCAGTGTTGCAATTAAAAAAGTGTGTGATCTCATACTTTTGTTTACCATCACTGTCCATCATCCATTTAGAATCCCGTAGGATATATTTGCAAGCGACACATCTGCCGCATCCATATGACCCTCGAGGGGTGTTACGTCCCAGCCAAGTGATCGCCATATTACATTTAGTTGAAAAATGGCTCGGAACTAACATGTCGTCTATATAACAATACCATGCCAATATCTTGGGCATATAGACTGAAAACGAGCTGGATTTCACAATATGTGTTTCCCACCACCCCAGGTGGAGGTTGGCATAGGAGGTTGCGCATGCCGTCCCCATAGCCGTCCCCCTCACCTGGTGGTAGAACCTGTTGTGAAAGAGGAAATAATTGTGGGATAAAATGAAACCCAGTAGTTTCAAGACAAACATCGTGTGGAGAGAATGGTCAGAGCCCCTCTGGTCTAGGAAGTATTTTGTATGTTCAATACCCTGTTCATGGGGGATAGAGGAATACAAGGCCTCTACGTCCAGACTGTACAGGTTGGCATTTCATGGTATTTGGAGATTTGAAAGGAGTAGCAATGCTTGCTTCGTATCCCTGATGTAGGAGGGTAGTTTCTCAACAAAGGGTCTTAGAATTCTGTCAATATAGAGGCTACTATTCTGGGTTATGTTTTCAATTCCGGAGACAATAGGATGGCCGGGAGGGTTCAGTGGATACTTGTGGACTTTAGGCAAGCAGTAGAAGGTTGCTATCCTCGAGTGACGGTTAAGAATGAATTGGTATTTGTCACCGGATAGCAACCCCCCATTACGGCCTTTGTCCAAGATCTCTTTGAGTTTTATCAGAAAGGAATTCGTTGGATCCAACTTCATAATCCCGTAGGTATCCTCATTTCCTAAAACCTTTTGGACCATTTTTTCATAGTCTGATACATTCATAACCACTACATTCCCCCTCTTTTCAGCTGGTTTGATAACCAACTGCTCATTCTCTCTCTCAATGATTTGAGAGCTATTTGTTCTTTCTTGGAGAGGTTATCATGAGGGAAAAAGTCAAAGTTGCTACTCTCTATGCTTTCAATATCGCTCCTAACTGCCTCAAGGAAGAAGTCAAGAATCCTGAAATTCGAAAAATTAGGAGTAAAACGGCTTTTTGGTTTCAAGTTAGTATAGTG